TTTCCAGCACAAATCTCTGCAACCCCCTCCTTATTCCCCCCATTCTGCACTAATCCTCCCCCCAATTTCCCCTTTCTAGTGCAACCCCCTCTCCCTCCCAGCACAAGTCCTCTCCTCCCTTCTAGCAAAAATCATCCCCCCTGCACCCCCACATCAGACCGGCAAGATCCGTCCCTGGATCAAATACCACCAAAAGAAAGCTCTATTCGTGCGAAAAAAAAAAAGATATAAATTTCATTTGGGTACAGCGTTGCATGACCGAGCAATTGCCAGTTAAAGTAGCACAGCGCTGAATAGCAAAAAAAAAAAAAAAAAAGTCCTGGTCATGAAGGGGAGGTAAAACCTTTCCGGAGGTCAAGTGGTTAAAAACGAAGCACAGGAGCCGTGGGATGTGCGGAAGATTTTCCAGCGGTACGAGGACTCCTTGACCTTGCTTGATGCCGCTACACCTCGTACATTTCCATAAACTGGAATAAATAAATAGGAAGAGCCGTCACGGCATTCGTAAACATCGCCAATGTCAGTAAAGCTGCTTTGAGTGCGATCCGCGAGCGTTGTTTATCCCGCGCCGTGACCTTGACATTTCGCTGCTGCTCAGAGAGACGTTCGGTTCAAGTGGACCCGCCTGGAATCAAATGTGGGAACTCCCAACGCTGACTGTTGAAGATTCATACTTCTCATTCTGCTTCAGGTGGAACTTTACAAGTCCTCCTCCACACATCCTGACATGCCGCTACGTGCCGCAACAATATCAAGAAAAAAGCTCCACCTAAGCCATCCTTCACTTCCCGAGACGGAGCCTAGGCTGAGACGATGTCACCGGTCTGCTGCGGGTAGGAGGGTGCGTTTCCGCAGTCTCCTCTCCAGTAGGTTGCAACAGGCCTTTGCCTCCCGTTCTGCCCTGCTGGAGCATCTAGGTGACCTTCTGGTGGGTGTCCCTGATGGGCTGGGTGCCAGTGGACAATACGGGGCGCCCTGTCTACGTGTTCCGTAAGGTACTGAGCAGGGGGCGGACTGACCATTTGGGAACTCGGGCACTGCCCGAGGGCCCGGGGTCAGTAGGGGGCCCCATGAGATGCCCCTGGTACCTTTCATAGGATTTTTTGGGTGTGGTTTGAGTGTGGGTGAGGAAACAGGGGCCCCATGATCCCCTATTACCCGGGGGCTCCATGAGTTGTTAGTCCACCCCTGGTACTGAGCTTCCTGAAGCTGCTCAATAGTTTGAGGAGTACAGTTTGCCGATCTCGGCTGAAAATGTTGGTAGTGCAGACTCTAGGGGTTGAATTTTTGTCACTTTTTGGGTGTCCCCCGGCCCTAACCGCTTTCTCCTAGCTTGTTCTGTTCTAATGATCGCTTCTGAAGTTCTTTTGGTCCATGGGTCAGTGCAGTGAATGATGAATGATGGAGAATGAAGGAACTTTTGATATGGACACTTTAGACAAGAGGTTCTCCACCACCAGGCTATCACCTGCAGTGGGGCCATGGCCTCCCTCCTACTGGGCCTCCAGCCAGCAGCAGATCTCCTAACCTCCAATGGTGCCTACTAGCTCTCTTAGTGCCTGCCAAACTTCCATAGTGGACCACAGTGCCCCCACAGTACTCCCAACCTCCCACAGTGATCTCCAACCTCCCACAGTGCCCCCCTGTCTACTGCAGAGCTTCCAGCCCCCCCAAACTGTCCCTTAGATCCAACAGTGTCTCACCCTGCCCCCAGACTTCTCATAGTGCCCTCTGGAGCACGCTATAGTCTCCCACAATGCCCCTGCAAAGCCCTGGCCTCCAGCCAGCTGCAGATTTCCTAGCCTCCCACAGTGCCTACCTGCTCTCGTAGTGCCCCCCAAACTAGGTGGACCACAGTGCCCCCCAGCTCCCACAGAACTCTCAACATCCCACAGTGCCCCCAGTCTACTGCAGAGCCTCCAGCCCCCCAAAGTGTCTCTAAGTTCCAACAGTGTCTCACCCTGCCCCCACCTTTCCCCACAGCGCCCTCCTCCTAATCTCCCCATTTCCTGTACAAATCCCCCTCCCAGCACAAATTCCCACCCCCTAACAAAAATCCTTCCCCCTTCACCCCCCTTCTTTCCAGCACAAATCTCTGCAACCCCCTCCTTATTCCCCCCACCCTGCACCAATCCTGCCCCCAATTTCCCCTTTTTAGTGCAACCCCCCTCCCTCCCAGCACAAATCCTTTCTCCCCCTTCTATCAAAATTCCTCCCCCCTTCACCCCTGCTTTCCAGCACGAATATCTTCAACCCCACCCCTATACCCCCTTCCCTGCGACAATCCTTCCCCCCAAATTCCCCCTTTCTAGCGCAATTTCCCCCCCCAGCACAAATCTTCGCCCCCCCTTTCTAGCAAAAATCCTTCCTCTTCACCTAATCTCCTTTATTCTAACACAAATCGTCCCCTCTTCAATCATCCCTCCCCTACTACCATGAATCCTCTCCCCCCCCCCCCCCCCCTCCACACAAACCCACTTACCACCCCACCCCCATCATCAGGGCCGTGGATAAGGGGGTACACCATCAGTCCTCCTGTACAGGGCCCAGGCCAGCAGGGGGGGCCCAGCAGCTGGGTAAATCGGATGTGCGTAGGGAGGGTGATCAGCGCAGTGGGAGCAGGGGTGGACGGACAACTCATGGGGCCCCCAGGCAATAGGAAATCATGGGGCCCCTGTGTCCTCGCCCACACTCAAACCACATCCAAAAAAAGCCTATGAAAGGTACCAGGGGCATCTCATGGGGCCCCCTACTGATTCTGGGCCCTCGGGCACTGCCTGAGTGGCTAAATGGTCAGTCCGCCCCTGGGTGGGAGTGCAATTACTGGAACCGATACCCTGTATGGCTGTCTCTGCAGCAGCTGAAAGCCGGCTTCTTCTCCTCCTCGCCTCCCGCTGGCATTCAGCTGCTGCAGAAAGAACCATACAGGAGATCGATTCCAGTAATTGTCCCTCTGTTGCACCCCTCATCCTGCCTGTGCACCATACGGTTCCCCATGTTGCCCAGGCCCCTCTGTGTGCCCCCCCACCCCCCCAGCACTCCTGGGTTCCCTCCTCTCCCTCTCAACGGTAACTGCAAGCCCACAATAGGATCCTTTGGAATGATGAACACAATAAGTGATCAGTACCAATTACTCACTGTGCTCATTCATTACTGAAGCATAGTAAACTGCGTTTCTTCTAGAGGGGAAGGCCTTGTCAGGTTTTCTGTATGGGGCCCCGTGGTTTCTAACAGCAGCCCTGCCCATCATACTTCCTCACTCCTACCACCATGAATCCAACACCGGCACAAATCAGGAGGATCCCGGCTTCCCTCGGCTCGGAGGTATACTGTTGTTAGAAATGCTGGCTGCTGCATAGGAGGAGATCGCTGGGCTATGGACCAGGGGCAACCCTCAGGAGATGCGGGGCAAGTGCCCATAGCGCCCCTGCCAGGTGAATTTGTGGAGTCAGGTGCCAGAACTTGTTGACAGATCCGAGGGACGCTGGGATTTTGTTGAAATCCGGGATTGTCCCACAGAGTTCGAGTCTATCGGGAAGAATGACTTTGCTCTCCTTCTTAGTATGATGGGCACTTGCCCCGCATCTCCTGAGGGTTGCCCCGCGTCCATAGCCTTCTTAGGAGAGCGAAGTCGTTCTTCCCAACAGACTCGAACTCCGCGGGACCATCCCCATCTTATTTTGCTCCCAAGGGCAACCGGTCTTGTGGTCCCGCCCACGTTACGCCACTGTGATTGATAAAAAAACAATAAAAACAGATTTTGCCACGTAAATGTTCAGAAGTGACAGACGTCCAATTTCTTCCACCCCAAAAACAGCCTGGGATTTTATTCTGAGGTTCAAGCCACCTGGGGGCGCTCCTCATCTGTCCAGGGGTAAGGGGCGCTGCGGGGGACAAATATGTCTTCTTACAGGCCTGGCGGGGGAGGAAATCAGGGCCCATGTACTGTATAGTTACACTTTAAAGATGCATTGGCATGAAATATGTTGAATAGGAAGCCCAGGAAGCCCATTGGCCCATGTAGTTCAAGTTCTTTTTTCATGGTGCAAAAGGGAAATTTCATGAATTAAACGCTACAATGGATTTATTATCGAGGTCTACAGCGCTGAACGCACAGAAACGGTTTTATTAAGAACAGTAAATATGCAACGATCGTCTTTCCTCTCATCTTCTATCACCTGCAGCAGCTGCTATGAGTTCCACCGCAATGGCGGCCTCCTGTCTAGTGGTTATTGGTGGCAATTTCTTCATGCTTCCTGCTTCCAATGCTACAGAACTCAATCGCTGGAAAAGAGTAATTATTGTGTTTTATTAGGTACTCATAGCTTGAACCGGATGGACCTACAGTCATGGCCAAAAATATTGCCCCCCCCAATACGCCAGGGGCGTATTTACCAGAAGGCAAACAAGGCACTTGCCTAGGGCGGCATTTTGCAGGGTTGCAGCGCCGTGCCCCAGAAGAAGGGATGAAAGATGGGACACGTGCGCCATGGGAACCAAGTGGGATCCGAGAGAGGCTGCGGACTGCTTGATGGTGTATGTAGATCCCGGCTCTCATTCCCGGGGATGTCCGGAGATGAAGATAAGTGTCTCTCTGTCACCGGGGATGGGGTAGTGGAAGGCTCTCCCAGGTGGGGGGCAGGAGTGTTGTTGGTCAGTGTCAGGCTCTCTCTACGAGAGGGGCAAAGTTGGTGTTGGTCGGTGTCTGTGGGAGAGGCCGATTTTTGTGTTGCCTAGGGCAGCACAAAATCTAAATACACCCCTGCCCCCAACATTACTGATCTCTGCCAGATAACGTTCCACTTCACCCGGAAAATTGTTGCAATTACAAATGTGTCGTCGTTCTCATGTTTATTTCTTTTGTTAGTATCGGTGACACAAAAAAGTGGAGAAACAAAAAGCCAAAGTGGTGGAAATGTCAAACTAATGGCATTGGGGGGGCTGGGGAGCACCCTGGGAGATAGATATACACTATATATTTCCAAAAGTATTGGCCCCGCCCTCCCAAGCATGTGATTCAGGTGTTCCAATCCCCTCCATATCATGTGATTCAGGTGTTCCAATCCCCTCCATATAATGTGATTCAGGTGTTCCAATCCCCTCCATATAATGTGATTCAGGTGTTCCAATCCCCTCCATATCATGTGATTCAGGTGTTCCAATCCCCTCCATATCATGTGATTCAGGTGTTCCAATCCCCTCCATATCATGTGATTCAGGTGTTCGAATCCCCTCCATATCATGTGATTCAGGTGTTCCAATCCCCTCCATATTATGTGATTCAGGTGTTCCAATCCCCTCCATATCATGTGATTCAGGTGTTCCAATCCCCTCCATATCATGTGATTCAGATGTTCCAATCCCCTCCATGGACACAGGTGTATACAATCCATCCCCTAGGCATGCAGACTGCTTCTATAAACATTGGTGAAAGAATGGGTCGCTCTCAGGAGCTCAGTTACTCCAAGCGTGGTCCCCGTGATAGGTGGCCACCTGGGCAATAAGTCCATCCGTGACATTTCCTGGCTACTAAATATTCCACGCTCAACTGTTAGTGGGATTATAACAAAGTGGAAGCCACTGGAAACAACAGCAACTCAGCCACCAAGTGGTAGGCCACGTCACATGACAGGGCGGGGTCAGCGCATGCTGAAGCGCACAGTGCGTAGAAGTCACCGACTGTCTGCAGAGTCAATAGCTAAAGACCTCCAAACTTGGTGTGGCCTTCAGATGAGCCCAACAACAGTGCGTAGAGAGCTTCATGGAATGGGTTTCCATGGCCGAGCAGCTGCATCCAAGCCTTCCATCACCAAGTGCAACGCAAAGTGTTGGATGCCGTGGTGTAAAGCACGCCACCACTGGACTCTAGAGCAGTGGAGACATGTTCTGTGGCGTGACCAATCACGCTTCTCTGTCTGATAATCCGATGGACATGTCTGGGTTTGACGGTTGCCAGGAGAACGGTACTTGCCTGACTGTATTTTGCCAAGTGTGAAGTTTGGTGGAGGGGGGGGGGATTATGGTGTGGCGGTGTTTTTCAGGGGTTGGGCTTGGCCCCCTAGTTCCAGTGAAGGGAACTATTAAGGGGACATTTTGGACAATTTCATGCTCCCAACTTTGTGGGAGGAGTTTGGGGATGGCCCCTTCGTGTCCCAACATGACTGCGCACCAGTGCACAAAGCAAGGTCCATAAAGACATGGAGGAGCCAGTTTGGGGTGGAGGAACTTGACTGTCCTGCACAGAGTCCTGACCTCAACCCCATAGAACACCTTTGGGATGCATTAGAGCGGAGACTAGGAGCCAGGCCTCCTCCCCCGACATCAGTGCCTGACCTGACAAATGTGCTTCTGGAAGAATGGTCCAACCTTCCCATAGACACCCTCCTAAACCTTGTGGACGGCCTTCCCAGAAGAGTTGGAGCTGTTATAGCTGCAAAGGGCGGGGCCAACTCCCTAATGGGGGGCCATTAAAGGTCATAAAGGGCGGGGCCAACTCAATATTGAACCCTACGGACTAAGACTGGGGGGCCATTAAAGGTCATGTGTGTGGAAAGGGCGGGGCCAACTCAATATTGAACCCTACGGACTAAGACTGGGGGCCATTAAGGGTCATGTGTGTGGAAAGGGCGGGGCCAACTCAATATTGAACCCTACGGACTAAGACTGGGGGGGGCATTAAGGGTCATGTGTGTGGAAAGGCCGGCGGCCCAATACTTTTGGCAATATAGTGTACACCAAAGCAAAAATAACTTAAAAAAATAGGACTGGCTGGCGCGGGGATTTTACTAAAGTAATGGGGGATGGGTGGGGTAGCTTGTCCTCATATTAATGAGAAGGGCCTCTGCCCCACAACTCTGGCCCAGTGGTTGCGGGGGTCTGCAATCTCATTTTACCATAAGGGTGCACCCAAATATCACCCCCCATGTAAATGAGTGAGGGGTACATAACACCCCCACAATGTAGATCCACATCAATCACGATGTCTGCCGCCTGTCGAAAGAAACTCAACAAAGTGAGACATCATTAAAGGGGAGGGGAGGGGGGGGGGTGACTTCATTACCCAATATGGTTACCATGGCCATAGGGGGCAAAGATTTAACCACTCTGCTTACATGGTTGGGTATTCCAAGTATATTCCATGTAAGTGAATGGAATTGGTGACATCAGTGGCTGGTAAGGATGTGGTGGGCGCAGGCGCCCCCTGCTTCACTAGCAACCATTTACAGCAGAAAGCTGTCATGTTCATCCACACCGAACACCCTAAGTGTTTGGCGTTAAGAAGAATATCCAAACAGCAAGTCTTCAGCTTGACCCTATCTTCGGACCGAACACTCAGCTCATTCCTAGTAACTATGTAACTATCAAGGATGTGGTGGGCGCAGGCACTCGCTGCTTCCCTAGCAACCATTGTCAGCAGGAAGCTGTCATGTTCATCCACACCGAACACCCTGTTTGGCGTTACGAAGAATATCCCGAACAGCAAGTCTTCAGCTCGACCCTATCTTCGGACCGAACACTCAGCTCATCCTTAGTAACTATTAAGGATGTGGTGGGTGCAGGCACCCGCTGCTTCCCTAGCAACCATTGACAGCAGGAAGCTGTCATGTTCATCCACACCGAACACCCTAAGTGTTTGGCATTAAGAAGGATATCCAAACAGCAAGTCTTCAGGTCGACCCCATCTTCGGACCGAACACTCAGCTCATCCTTAGTAACTATCAAGGATGTGGTGGGCGCAGGCACCCCCTGCTTCCCTAGCAACCATTGACAGCAGGAATCTGTCATGTTCATCCACACCGAACACCCTAAGTGTTTGGCGTTAAGAAGAATATCCGAACATCAAGTCTTCAGCTCGACCCTATCTTTGAATCGAACACTCAGCTCATCCCTAGTAACTATGTAGCTATCAAGGATGTGGTGGGCGCAGGCACCTGCTGCTTCCCTAGCAACCATTGACAGCAGGAAGCTGTCATGTTCATCCACACCGAACACAGTTTCCCCTTTTTGTCCTTTTTTTATTCCCCATCTCAGTGCTGCTGATCCCCAGCTTTCAGCCACTTCCCGTCTACCTGCACTCGCTCCAGGGGCAGCTGCATGGCATTTCAAAGGTGACAACGGTGTAACATTCTTACATTCTTGTCCATCTGTGGTCTCCACCGGGAGCGCACATGACAGGATGGCAGCGCAGGAGCAACAGCTGTCACCCCATGACAGCAAAGACCTTCATGGCGGGATCATCAGGTATTATGTTAATGAAAGCTGCAAATTTGAAAAGTATGAAACTTGTTTTTACATTGTAGCTGAACTCCAGATTGGAACACAAATACTGAGGATGCACTGAAATATCGGCTGATGAAAATTCGTTAGAAAATACGGTTATCGCCGATTTGCCGATAGGAAAAAAAAAAGGAGACGATAATGGCATGCTGCGTCCCAAAGACACAAAAACGCCCCCTAATGACTTCAGTGCAAAATCGTGTCCAATAGACTTTAATGCAAAGTTGCGTCCCATAGACTTAAATGCAAAAACGCCCCCTAGTGACTTTAATGCAAAAAACGCCCCCTAGTGACTTTAATGCAAAGTCCCGTCCTATAGACTTTAATGTAAAAAATGCCCCCTAGTGACTTCAATGCAAAGTCATGTCCCATAGGCTTTAATGCAAAGTTATGTTCCCACAGACTTAAATGCAAAAACGCCCCCTAGTGACTTCAATGCAAAGTCACGTCCTATAGACAACGCCCACCCTAGTGACGTCAACGCAAAATCGTGTCCCATTAACTTCAATACAATATCGCATCTCATTGACTTCAGTGCAAAAATGCCCCCCATTCACTTTAATGCAAAGTCACGTCCCATAGACTTGAATGCTAAAAAAAGCCCCCTAGTGACTTCAATGCAAATTCGTGTCCCATTAACTTCAATACAATATCGTGTCCCATTGACTTCAATGCAAAAACGCCCCCTAGTGACTTCAATGCAAAACCGCGTCCCATTCATTTATTATTTCAGGTACTTATATAGCGCCATCAATTTACGCAGCACTTTTCCATATATATTGTACATTCACATCAGTCCCCGCCCCCGAGGAGCGTACAATCTAAGGTCCCTAACTCACATTCATACATACACATACTAGGGCCAATTTAGACAGGATCCAATTAACCTACCAGCATGTCTTTGGAGTGTCGGAGGAAACTGGAGCACCTAGAGGAAACCCACGCAGGCAAAGGGAGAACATGCAAACTCCAGGCAGGTGGTGCCATGGTTGGGATTTGAACCAACAACCCTAGTGCTGCCAGATGGAAATGCTAACCATTTAGCCACTGTGCTGCCCACTCAATACAATATCTCGTCTCATTGACTTCAGTGCAAAAACGCCCCCTAGTGACTGCAATGCAAAATCACATCCCATTAACTTCAATACAATATTGCGTTTCATTGACTTCAATGCAAAAACACCCCCTAGTGACGTCAATGCAAAAACTATCCATTTCAGTTTTCGGTCAAGTGATTCCTGAGTTTTCGGTTTTGGCACTGGAATCTTCATTTCGGTGCCCCACCAATAAATTCCCTTCTAGTGGGACCCCCAACCCCCCCATCCACCCCCCCTCCCCATGAACTGCAAGGGTCATTTTTTTTTAGTGATTTCTAGTGGGTAGAGGAAGAGGCTCCTTTTCCATGTTCCAGCAATGTCCTCTTCCTTGTTCCTCCAGCCTGTGGCAGATCCCTCAACGCCATCATAGCCCATGCAGGGCTATTACCCTGCATTGGATGTGAAGGGGACCACAGCCATGTGGCTTAGAGAAGAACCTGCTAGAGCACGGGTGTCAAACTGGCCGCCCTCCTGCTGTTGTCAAACTACAAGTCCCATGATGCATTGCAAAATTGACAGTTACAAGCACGACTCCCAAAGGCAGAAGCATGATGGGACTTGTAGTTTCACAACAGCTGGAGATTCGGGATGGGGGGGAGGAGTGTTTGGGGGGGGGAGATGCATGATGGGGAGGAGGAGGAGGAGGAGTGTTATTTCTAAGAAGCCTACAACTAAGAATTACAACTAATACAACTAAACTGGGGGGGGGGGGGGAGAGAGAAGAAGAGAGAAGAAGAGAGAAGGGATAGAGGGGAGAGAGGGGAGGGGGAGAGAAAAAAAGGAGAGAGAGAAAAAGAGAAGAGGGGGGAAAACAAAGAGGAGAGGGAGAGGGGGGAGAGAGGGGGGAGAGAAAAAAGAGGAGAGAGAAAAAGAGGAGAGGGGGAAGAGAGGGAAAGAGGAGAGAAGGAGGGAGAGGAGGAGAGAAGAGAGAGAGGAGAGGGGGGGGGGAAAAGAAAAGAGAGAGAGAGAGAGGGGGGATAGAGGGGGATGGGAGAGAGGGGAGGAGAGGGGGGAAGAGAAGAGAGGGGAGGGGAGGAGAGAGGGGAAGAGAGAGAGGAGAGAGGAAAGGGGGAAGGAGAGAGAGAAAAGAAAG